ATGGAAAGTATCAAGCATATATGAAAATGTAATGATGGCAACCACTTCAGGAGTCAACATTCCAGGCCACGTGCCTGTGGCACGGTCAAGAACAACTGATTTATGTTACAGTGCTGTCGTTGTGACTGCAGGGCTGCTGGGGGCAGAGACCGGTGGCCTCTGGTCCTTTCGGTGCCAGGGAAGGCTTGGTCTCCTTACTACAAACAAGGGAAGTTTTATCCTTGGGCTTTTACGCATGCTTTCACAAAGCTGCTTTAATTTCATGGTCTCCCCTTGGCCACCAAATGATTCCTTTCCTCCCAGTAGACCCGGAGGATGTGCACAAGTTGCAGCTTCTGCCCCCATCGCCTGCCCGAGAAGACACGCTGCTGTTCTGGTGCTCATTGGGTGACCTTGCTCGTACCTACAAATGGCATGGATTTGTACACACGGCCATTCCTGCGCTCTTGGGCTGCTGCAGCCCAGCTGTGCTCACTGGTGTGTTCCCTGGGCTGGCCTTGCCCCTCCCTGCCCTTGGGGACAGTCTGGACGTCCTGTGCCTGGTGGACCCGGATTCCTTGACATCCCAGTTCAGTCCTCACATCCCTTCTTCCCAGTGGTGGTTACATTCACGTGCATGTGATGATTTTATGGATTCCCTCTTCGCCCTTGAAGTCCAGGTGGCATCTGTTTTTCTCCTCATCATAGTCTCATCCTCTGCTTGTCATGCCTCAGTGCTTGCTCATGGCTGCTTGGGGAAGGGCTGAGTGAGCTAAAGGCCAGGAGAACCTGTAGTGCAAATGATGTGCACCTTCTCTGTGGCCATCAGGTTTGGTTCTCTTCCCTTTTGAGCTTTTAAAAATAGTTGTCATCTCTGTGATGCTGGAATGTGCTCACCTACAGTGAGCACTGCTGTTGTCCTTCCCACGAGGGCAGGGTCGGGGGCTCTGACTGGCAGCGGCAGGATCCCCCAGGAAGCCCATGTGACTGTGTCCCTACCAAGATGGTTGTCAGCAGCCTGTGGGACTTCGGCTCTGAAGTCAGGCCCTCTAGTCAGCTTGTCAGCTGCATGGCTGGCCGAGGAGCCAGATGCTGCCCTGTCCCTGAATACTGCACCAGCGGCTGCACAGGACGAAATGCAGTGCTGTCCTTCTAACAAGTTAGCTTCTGCAGGGCACCTTTCCCCTAGCACATGCTGCATGCCGATCTGAGCTCTGCCTGGGCTGAGGTGGATGCTGTTCTAACTTCTTTCTTGGATGCAGTGTTTAATTAACTTGATTTTATTTGTAAACAAAACGGGTTGGCATTTAATAACTGAAAGGAGGTAGTGGCAACTCCTGAGTATGGCAACACTGCAAAATTAAAAGCAGGTGCTGCGTCATAGGAGGGAATGGTTGAGGGAAGCCCCGCTCTGACAGTGGTGCGTGAGGGCTGTTGACAGAGCTGGCGATCAGCGTCACTGTACAGTTGATGGGTTGGCTTGGTTGGCTTGTGATGTGTAGTTGACAGAGGCTCGGAGACAGGAGGGTGGGGCTGTTTGGGCCTCAGACCCCACTGGCCTGTGGGTCCAGGCCCGAGGGGGCCCAGGAGTCAAAGACCCTTGTCTGACCAAGGTCCACCTGTAAGCGACATGCTTTGGGCTTGTCTTCTGATAGCTGTAGTAACAGGTGTTTCTTCTCTGGTTATTGTCCCAGCAAAATGGCGAACACAGTGTGCTGTGGGTGTTTTCCGCTGCGCTGTAAGGAATGCCACTAACTGGGTGGACCCCAGCAGAACTTGGTTCTCGCAGTTCTGAGGCCAGAAGTCTGAAACCACAGCGCCAGCAGGGCCGCGCTCCCTCCGGAGGCCGAGGGGAGGATCCTGCCTGCCCGTGCCGCCTTCTAGTGGTTGCAGCAGTCTGGAGCTCCCTGTCTGGTGGTCCTGTGGCTCCAGTTTCTGCTTCCGTCGGCAAATGGCCGTCTTCCCTCCCTGTGTGTCTTCACAAGGCCACTACCTCTGTGTGTCTATTTATCTCTTCTTAGTAGGACACCAGTCGCATTGGATTGGGGCCCGCCCCGAGTATGACCTCATCCTGACCTGACTGTATGTGCAAAGACCCTATTTCCAAATAAGTGCACAGGTACATGCCTGCATCAGGACTTCAACACGTCTCTTTTTTTGGTGGGGGCTGGGGCACAATTCAACTCATAACAATAGGGAAAGTGGACTCTCACGTCTGGGCATTGCCCGGTCCCCTAACTCTAACCTGAGTACCTGCCCTTCCAGAAGTGAGGCCCCAGTGTCGCTGTAGGTGGTTATTTAAATCCCATTAAGGTGTTAACTAATGAAGGGGTTGGTAGTTGGGGTCCTCAAGATTGTAATGGATCCCAAGGTACTTTTCCTGTTTCAGAAAACTCACTACACCACCTACATTTTCCCATGGGAAGTCGACACAGCGACACAGCCCACAGCCCACATTTAGCTAACAGCAAATGTCTCGCTCTTAGCTAAAATGAAGTCAGTAAGTGCAGTCGCTGGTTATCATGTGGCAACAGGACTCAGGGCTAATAAAGGGAGAGACAGCCCCGGCCACTCTGGCTCCCCCTCCCATGGACTGTTAAGTTTCCATCCTCCACAGGCCTGGCTTGGCCAGTCACCAGAGTGGGCAGTGGCTTTAGGCACTGACATGCCTGGGAGAGTGGGTTGGGGGGATCCCCCTAAACAACGGCACTCTGTGGGCTCTGGCCGCCCAGGTTGGGGTGAAGTGGCTTCTCCCTTGACCTGTGGCCCCAGGTGGATTCTGATGGTGGAGGGAGAGTAACCCTTCTCTTTGCTCCTCCTGGTCCTACCAACCCCATGGTAGGCTGCCTGTCCCCCTGTCCCCAGCCCAGAGCAGTTGCCCACACTGTCCCCTGGAGCTGCCCTGTCTTGTCTCTGTCTTCACTCGAAGAAGTCCTTGGGAATCTCCGGCCCTCCTTTGCCTTTTCCTGGAACCTGTCGTGAGCATCCATCCTCCTGCCACCCAAGGGCTTTCTCAGCTTCCTGGTGCGAACCCCAGCCTTCAAGGGCCACACTTGATTCCCTGTCTGTATGATTTCCCTGGAAGCTTGTCAAGAATGAAGCTGAACCAACCTCTGGCAGGGTTTCTGCTGCTGTAGGTTAATATTCCCAGGAGAGAGAACCTGACTGCCTTAGTTTGGAGACATCAGAAGATGCAGCCGCTCAGACAACTGGATGATAGGAGGCTGGGTAGTTTCTTGTCTCTCTGCAACTCCTCCCACAGCTGCACCCTTCTGCTCATCTTCTGTCCTCGCATCTGTTCCCTGCTGAAATCCTGCCAGAAACACCACCCTTGTCCTGCAGAAACCTTGACCCTGGTTAAGTCCAGTGTCCCTGCTCCTCCCCCCAGTGCTCTGGCGAGTGTGACACATCAACCAACAGCCATGCCTGCTCCCTGGGTGGTGGTCCCTCCACTTACCCTTCCTGATCATACTCCCCCTGCCTCATCGCCTAATCAGTAACTCCTCGCTGCCACTTGGTCCAGGCACCTGTGTTCTTCCCTCCTCTTCTCACAGATGAGCTTTTTTTCCCCTATCTCTGGAACAGCATGCCACACTGTGCCTCCCACCTCCTGGGCTTCCAGCTGCCTCCTCCAGTTTGCAGGCTCTCTGTCCCTGGCGGCCCAGGGCACCCCCGCCCCCAGACCCCACACAGACTCCCCTGGGTGCTCTCCTGAACGCTGATGGCTCGCTATCCAGCTGCCCACCGTGCACGCCCTGCCGGGACCTCGGCCTCGGCCACAGCCACAGACGCAGTATCTGCCTGGCAGGTGCACCTTCCAGCCTCTCAGGCAAAACCCTTGGGCCCTTCACTGACTTGTTTCCTCTCGCACATCTGTCAGCCAATCTTACTGACTTAAAACGACACACAAAAAACATTCAACCTGTTACTACTTTGGTCCTACCCTTATTTTTCTCCTGGCTTATTATGTCATTCCCCAAGTTTACTCTTGCCTGCTTACTATGTACTTTCAGCACAGCCAGAGTGCTGCTGTTAAAATATAATCCAGTTTCTCCTCCGCGCACAGTTCTGCCTTAGTGCCCTATTTCACTCAGCCTGAAGGCCAAAGTGGGAAGGGTGACTTACTCCCGTGCCCATGATTTAGTCTCTGTGAGGTTTCTGTCACTTCACTCAGGCCACACTGGCCTTCTCGGTTTTCAGATTCGCCAGGCCTGCCTCACCCCAGGGCCTTTGCACTTGCTGCTCCTTCAGCCTTGCACCTTGCTCGTGCTTCCTGGACACCCACATAATGCCTTCCTTCACTTCCTTGCAAACCTGCTGAGGTGCCGCCGAATTCAGAGGCCACCTGCTCACGCTGTGAAACAGAAAGGCACTTCCTGCCCCAGGCACTTCCAGACCAGTGTGCTCTGCTTTCCTGTTCTCCACAGCACGTGTCTGATCTGATATGTCTGTTCTGTCTCTTTTCATGAGAATGTATGTCCCCGAAGGTGGGGACTCTGTTGTGTCCCAGCAGTGTCAGCAGAAGTGGGCTCTCCAAGAGGGAGAATTGTGCCTCGAAGATGGGAGTGGTGGGACTCAAACACCTGGCTGCAAAGCCGGCCTGGTTGGGCAGCGAGGGTGGCTGAGTGCAGGGTCTGGCGCAGGCAAGCCATGAGGCTTTCCCACCCTCCTCAGCCCTGTAAGTGTTCTGTGTGCCCTACAGGGCCAGCATCACAGTCCTGCCCTCTGTGTGATGTCATGGGGCTGTGTGACATCACAAGGTGGAGCAGGCCAGCCACTGGCTCCACACTCTACTGGCCAGGAGCAGCAGGAGGGAGGTGGTGGCCAGTATTCTGTTGGATTCAAAAGTCGTTCACTTAGACTGTCACTGAAAAATGTATGGTTGGCGGGCTCAGCTGGGGGACAAAAATCCACAGGTGAGACTTGGATCCGCATCAGCCTGGCTGCCTCAGGTCCAGCCTGTGTTAACCTCTCTCCCTCCCAGGCATCCTTGAACCCTCGCCCATCCTTCAACTGCTACAATGAGAGATGCATCAGAACTCAAGAAGTCTCCTTCACATCCCCTGAAGAAATTTGTAGGTAATGAGAAAAGACCACGACAGGAGCCTATTTCAACCCAAGGTGTTGACGATTAACCACCAGGCTGAGAAGGAAAGGCAAAGAAACTTGTTTTTTTAAAGTGTGTAGGAAAATACTAGGAAGTCTTCATTTTCTTAAAATTTCATTCAAAACCCCCCTGAATCTGAGGTTTTCAGCATAAGGAATCTATCTATTTTTTAGGGGGCTTCAGGGTTAAAGATGTTTTCATATGATGTGCCAACCATATACTTCAGCTACTTCATAATTTTTATGGCAAGAATGATTTTTTAAGTCCCTACCCAAGGACTGATTGATTGCTTATTGATTTTAGAGAGAGGAGACGGGAAGCAGAGAGGGAGAGAAACACTGATGTGAGAGAGAAACATCAGTTGGTGTCTCTCACATGTGCCCTGACCAGGGACTAAACCCACAGCCGACACGCACCTGATGTGGAATTGAACCTGTGACCTTTTGGTTTACAGGACGACTCTCCAACCAGCGGAGCCACACTGGCCAGGGCAAGAGTGATTTTTTTTTTTAAGAAAAAATGTTTAACAGTGAAGTTCATCTTTCCCCAGCCCTGCCCAGGATGCGAAGTTGGACACCTGTATCTGTCGAAGGAAATTTTATGTAAACATGACTTCTTTCAAGGCACATGGTTAGTGTGTATACACAATGTGATTACAGTCACTTAAAACCACGAGGAGAAAACTTCCAGGAATGTGGGACCATTGGGGAGTGGGTGAGAGAAGGGCTGTGTTACTTCCACTGAGCAGATGTGTGTTTCTTGAATTTTTTTCTCAGCTGAGCTTTTCTTTATGTGTGACTATGGTAATAAGGAAATAGAAAGAAAAAAATTTGGTTTTCTTTTTTCGGCTTGGAGCAGGGACTGACTGGGAGGTCGCTGGGATGGCCAGGGATGGAGATGCGAGAGACTCTTCTGTGTGGCGACCTGAAGGACGTGCACTAAGACATCATCGGGGTGGGCCCAGGCTGATGACACGGTGCTGGAGAGGAGGGGGAGGGAGGACAGGGAGGCTCCCCGGGGGTCTCAGGTGCGATGGGGAGACTGAGCTTCCACAGAGGTGGGGGTAGGGCACCAACAACTATTCCAAAATATTCCATTAAGGCAGCCAAAATGGGAAATATGTATAAAGATTTTCTCACCTGTGTGGTGATGTTGAAGAGAACAATCAGTATGAACACATTATGTTTCTCTTAATGAGTTTTTTTCTTCCCACGGTGTTTGTTGAAATAAACCTCTGCTGATACCTTGAGCACATCTGGGAGCCCTTGTCCCCTGGGTCATGGGGAGGAGTATATGTATATTAGGTGTTTCCACCCCATGGGTGGGGGTGGAAACAGTGGGGGTGATGGGGACCCCCACTCTGCCCACCAGCTGAGTGGTCTTGGGTCTCCTAGACTTTTCCGGGTGAGGTGGAGGACCTGAGCACGCAGGAGCCAGTGTTTGCTGCCACCGTAACTGTCATCAGCAGCCCCATCTAGACTCTGTGGGAGCCATAGGTTGGTGTGGTGGCACTCTCTCTGCTGTGTCCCTGAGACCACCGCCACCTCCCTGAGGGCCTTAGGTGGCAGTCTGGACCACACCAGGAGCAAAACCCTGCACAGCTCCTGTTCCTTTAAACTGATGGCCACTCTGTGGAACAACTGAGAACTCAGTGACCACAAGGGCCCCTGGGGAGGCCAGCGCACCATGGCCCTCCGGGGACCAGCTCTGAGCCTCTCTAGTCCAGCTGTGCCAAGGACAGGCCCCTCTGGCTACCCCGGCTCCCTTGCCCCTCCCAGTTAGAAAGTTGGCTCTGGCTACTAGGATCCAGCTTTGGGAGAGGGCAGTGGTGCAGAAGGTTAACAGCTGGATCTCTCATCCTCTGACTCTGCTGGCATGTCCAGTTGTGTGCTGCAGGGGCTGTGGTAGCATTCAGAGGGCTGCCACAGTTCCATTGCATCTTTGACAGGTGTGGGAGGCCATGGCGTCAGTCTTTGTCAAATCTGGAGTGGGGGTTTTGGGTAGGGAGGGAGGGGCATGAGAAACAGCTGTTTCTCTGGAAACCCTGGGTCTGAAAGTCTAAGTCAACTCAAAGAAAATGACTATAGTTCCCTGGGAAGTCAGAGAGGTGGGTGGGCTCCCCACCCCTTGTGACAGAGACCCCAGCAGGGTTGGGCAGACGTTGCTGGCTGCCAGCCAGGGGAATCACATGTCCCCCAAGCTGACAGTGTTATTAGATGTCAGGTAGCTGAGCTTTGCTGAAAACAGTCACTTGTCTCTTACAGTGTATTGCACATTCATTATCTTTTTCTTTTTTGTCAAAATTGGCATTAAAATTTCCTTCTGATTCAATTTTTAAATTCTCAAATAATCCTCGGCCCATATTGATAATTTTAATTCACCGTCTACTTACAAGTGAATTAATTACACATTATAACCCGAACTGCAAAGTATCCATTGTACTAGATCTTTGTTTCCCGTTTTCTTTGTAGAGCACTGAGCCTTGCGAGTGCCCTGCTGAGATGTATTATCTCCTTCATCGTTAGCGGACCCTGCATTATTCTGTGTAATTAACGTGACATTATTTTGTTCAGCAATCCAATTTATTCCAGATCTTAGTCTCAAAGTGAGGTCTGAATGATGCATAATTAAAAACATAACAAAACCCACAACAGAAACCTCTAAGTGTCCTGTCCAAGTCCCATGATTTTTAGAATTACAAGCGGTGCCTGTGTTCTTGCTAACAACTGGTCTGTGTGTATCTGTGCTCTGCAGTGTGTAACATTCCTCTGTACATCGTGTGTGACCACAATGTCAGCAGAGATCAGTGTCAGGGACTCGGGTGCTGCTTTCGTAAAGGTGTCTGCTATGAAAAAGCAGTTCCTAGTAAGTATTGGGCAGGTCCACCCCACAGGGATAAAGTCACAGAGGCCCAGGAGCGGGCCTGTCCCGCTTTTTCTGTCCTGGGTGTCATCGCTGCACAGGCCCTTCATTTTGTTCCCTGGTCACATCTCTCTGCAGTAGTGAAAACAGAGGGCTTTGAGGGTTGGTGACTGGGACTTAGGCCACCAGGAAAATGTCCACTTCCAGATGGGTAGGCTTGCTATTGAAGAAGACTAATTGAGGTCCCTCCTCCTTGGAAGACCTGTGGCCTTCTCAGGGGTGTTTTAGGCAGGAGTTGAGGACACCGTCCTACAAAAGCACCTGCTCCAGGGCAGGGGTTGGATGCTGGCTGTGCAAACAGTCAGATCTGACCAGGGCAGAAGCCAGCGTGCACAGCTGGGACCATGAGGATGACAAGAGGACCCCTGTGGCTCATCATCGTCAGAACAAAGACACAGACTTGAGAGATACTCCAGCCTGGGATGCACCTGGGGAGGCAGGGCCAGCAGGGACTCCTGGATAGGGAGGCTGTGGGACTGGGGGAGGGTCTGTCATCCTCTATACAGGGCCTGCTTCCCAGCCCACCGCCAGGGGAGGCACATGGTGAGAAAGTGGTCAGAGGGCAGGGGAGGAAGTGGGTGCGGATGAGGATATAAGTTAGGATGCCTGGCCCTGAAGGGGTGTTCTAACGTACCTTCTGGATATCTTCTCGCACTTCAGAGCTTTGGCCTTCTGTGACTGGAATTTTCTAAATTAATATTTCCAAATGCTCAAAAATTCCACTTGATGGCTGATGCGTTTTTCTGCCATTTGTGGCCCTTTCAGAAATGAGGGTGAGCGGGCTCCAGGGCTGTTTGGGACGGGACTGAACAAGTCTGTGGACCAGGGCAGCCTGCACAAGACTTCACCAAAGAGGAGGAAAGTGTTTTCCCACAGATACGAAAAGCTGGCTGCTGGCTGGGGACACTCAACAGCTCTGATGCTGTGGAAAGTTGTGTCCTGGTCCCTCCCTGTCCCAGGCTATTCTCCTATCCTTACCACCTGCAGTGGCTGAAAGTGCGCTTGTTCTCTTGGCCTGGTAGGATTCCTTCTTTCTTTTCTCCTCTAAGCCCCAGTTAGACGGAGCCCCTCAGACACAAGACAGTGAGTCTGCCTTCTCATTCCTGGACTCAAAAACCCCAGGAAGTGAGAAACATTAGTGACCAATAAGTGTTACCAACTACTGGCCCATGGGACCACCTGATCCCAAAGACTTAAAACTTGAAGCTAGCTCTTTTAACAAGTAAGTGATATTCTGGGGAAAATGTCTCAAGAAGCTCAAGTATTAGCAGGATCCTGGTTCACCCGAAGGGGGAGCATCTGTCTAGTTTCATGGTGAAGATTTGGCCTTTGGGCAAAAGAAAAGGAAATTTAGCTTCTCAAAAAATGGCAGATGAGAGGTCACAAGGAATGCCATTTATAGCCGGAAAGATTTTCTGATGGCAATTTCTTCTTTAGATCGTGAATTAGAAGACTTGAGAGCACACCTCCTTACTTGATCCACTGTCTACCTGCGGGAGCCCCCAGCCTCCCTGGGATCCCACACCCTCCCCTGGACCTGCAGACAGAAACAACTGGAAGCTACCTCTTTATTGGTTATTGTTTTTATTGAGATAAAATTCTCATACCATGAAATACACCTTTAAAAGTATATAATGCAGTCGTTTTTAGTATATTCACCAAGTTGAGCAACCATCACCACTAAAAGCTTTAGAACATTTTTGTTATTCTCAAAAGAAATCCTGTACCCATTAAGTAGTCATCCTATATTACCCTCTCCCTCCAGCCCCTGGCAAACACTGATTATCTGTCTCTCTGGACTTTCCTTTTCCAGACATTTCATGTAAATGGAATTATGTAATCTGTGGTCTCTTATGTCTGTCTGCTTTCACTTACAGAGTTTTCTCAAGGTTCACCCAGGATGTAGCAGGTGTCAGTACTTCATTCATTTAAAAGACAGATAACATCCCATTGTATGGATGTGCCACATTTTGTTTATCCATTCATCGGTTGATGGAAATTTGGATTGTTTCCACTTTTTAGCTATTTTGAATAATGCTACTGTGAACACATTGGTACAAGCTTTTATGAACATATGTTTTCAGTTCTCTTGGGTATTGACAGAAGTGAAATTACTGGATCATATATTAACTGTATTTAAAAATTTTTAAGGAACTGCTAAACTATTTTCCAAAGTGGCTGCACCATTTTACAGTCTGACCAGCAGTGTATGAGGGTTTTGGTTTCTCCAAATCCTCACCAACACTTGCTGTCTATCTTTTTTTATTATATCCATTGTAATGGTTATGAAGTTGTATCTCATGGTTTTGATTTGCTTCCCTAATGGGTAATGATATCAAGCAGCTTTCCATGTGCATATTGGCCATTTGTATATCTTCTCTGGAGAAAAATCTTTAAAAGCCTCTTGCCCAGTTTTTAATTGGGTCTTTATTATGGAGTTGTAAGAACTCTTTACATATTCTGGATAGCGGACCCTTACCAGATATATAATCTGCAACTACTTTCTCCCAATCTGTTGGTTGTCTTTTTATTTTTTGATAGTGTCCTTGAAGCACAAATGTTTTCTGTTTTGATAATGTTTAGTTTATCTATTTGTTGGTTGCTTGTGCTTTTGGTGTTATATCTAAGAAACCATTGCCTAGTCCAAGGACAAAGATCTATATCTATGGTATCTTCTTCTATGAGTTTTGTACTTTGGCATTTTAGTTCATACATTTAGGCCTTTCATCCATTTTGAGTTGATTTTTGTATATGGTGTGAGGCAGGGATCCAATTCATTCTTTTATATGCAGCTGTCCCAGCATCACCTGTTGAAAAGACGGTTCTTTTTTATTATTACTATTATCTTGGTATTCTTGTTGAAAATCAAGTGCCCATAAATGTGAGAATTTATTTCTGGACTTTCAATTCTATTCTATATATCTATTTTTAAACAGTACCATACTGCTTTGATTACTATAGTTTTGTAATGTGTTGAAATTGAGAAGTGTAAGCTCTTCAATTGTTCTTTTTCAACATTGTTTTAGTTATTATGGATCCTTTGCATCTCTGTATGAATTTAGCATCAGTTTGTCAATTTTTGCAAAAAAAAATCCATCTTGTATTTTTAACAGGGATTGTGTTGAATCTGTATAATTTGGGGGTCATTGCCATCTAAATAATATTAAGTATTCTAATCCATGAGCAGGGGATGTATTTCCATTTATTTAGGTCTTCTTTAATTTCTTCTCATTAGAATTTTCTACGGGAGTTGGCCATTTTGTAGATGTTAGTATGTATAACAAACATTGTTTAGATTAGTAAAATCATCTTATGCCTGTCATTCATTTGAAAAATGAGACTTGTTCCTTACAGCACCTTAATAATTAATGTCTTTAAGGACCAATTTTCCTCTACCAAAACCTTCCACAAACTCAAGAATTTTGTTCTACTTGAAGAGAGCCCACTGTTTTGCAAGTGGGTATGCCATTTTTGAATGGAGGCAAGTATTAATCCTCTTTCCTAATCCTCATTTTAATAAATGAGTTGTGTGGGCTAGGCTTTTCTTACCTTTTGACTTCTCTCACATTTGAGGGGTTGGGCCCTCTGTGAGAAGAGTCTGGGCAGTGAGCCCTGCATTTGGGTTCTCACTGTGCCCTCAAATCATTTCTCATTTCTCTGACATCGTATGCATTGAAGACGGTGAATGAACCTTTGTGCTGTGTAAGTTGTAGTATTCAGTGACAGGGTATTATGAGTTCTTTGTGCACATAATTCCATGTTATGAAAACCTTTCACCACCTTCTTAAATTGGCTCGTTTGAAGTTCACATTGTGTTATGGCATAATCTGTATTATTAAGAATGTGAACTTGGGGAATTAGCATTAGATCTTTGAGAAAGAATCAAGGAATTCAAAGACAGTGACTTGCCTTCATTCTTCAGTCTTGACTTCGGGTATATTATGTAACATGTCATTTCTTCTAAGTGTTTGATTTCAGTTTCTTCATGAGACTTGCTGAGATGTTTCAAAACTTTTGTTTAACTGTATTTGGGGGAGAATTTTCCAAGATATTGCTTGAAGAAAATAATGCTTTCCTCAATTGCTGCTATTTCTGAATGAGCAATAATCATATATGGTTTATTGAAAACCATACATATTGTTTATATCTGGCCATACACTGTACAGATAAAATCAAAGAGCTTCAGTCTTTGCCTCCAGGGGCTTGACATCAAGGACCAAAAATGTTTGTACATATGAAGATATAGAAGATATGATTATAATTGAATTCTAAGACATTGTTTAAATATGTGTCTCTAACAGTACTTCACTCACATATTAATTCTGAGTTTATTTCATGAGCAAAGACACAAGATTATACTATGGAACACATATTCCCTGGAATTCAAGAATTTGTGGTTTATCTTTTTATATCTTTAAAATTTCACTCTTTTAGGTAAAATGAACTTTATTTGTTCATTTCAATTCATTTCATTCAACATCATTTAAAGAGTATTTTCCCTGTGCCTTAGCCTATATCCCTATGAGAAAGCTCAGGGGGGTGGGTGGTGCCCAATTCTCCCTCCTACTCCTCCCAGGGAGTGGAGAAGGGCCGAGAATTTATACCAGCTGATGCCCCTACAGTGGGTGAACGTGCGAATGGAGGCTGGCCCCTAAGAGTCATTTCGAAGGCTTCGGTTCTTCTGTTGGGAGTGGGTTTAGAGAAGATGTGAACAACTGAGCACAGTGGAAGCCCCTTGTTAATACAGAAAAACTCAGTCAATAAAATTTGAAATCAGACCAATGGGATTTATCATCCAAAAAGCATTTATTTTCCCTATATTCAGTTTGGGGATAACTGACCTGTGCACTGAGGGACCAGTTTCATGGAGTTGGGGGCAGGGTGAGCTGCCCAGATCACCGGAGGCCAATGTCACTGTTTCCTGAGGAACAGTCATCTCTACAGTACTCCCCTCAGTGGTGGTCCTCAGGTGTCACCTGGGTAGCTGCCCACCACCACCCTGAGTACCTTTCATGGGGAGCTTTCATCTGTCTGTGGGCAACCTGGATTCCACAGAGGGGTCTCCAGAGGGAAGTGGGAGTGGGGAGAGGCAGTGCTCAGGCAGGAGCTGGTGGAGAAGGGCAGCAGGGTGGGGGGCCAAGGCCCAACTTGGGGGGATGGCTGCCTTTTAGTCATTAACCCAAATGATGATAAATGGACATTGTTTTCCAGCTCATGTGCAAGTGTTTTTTGCCTTGATTGTGATCATCACTGGGGCCTTTATTTTCACCGTTATTTACAAGTCAGTTGCTTTGTTCTTTCAAACTCCCATGCAGAATGTGGATGGGAGAGGAGTGGGTGTTTGGGGAACTCCCCTCCTCTGTCAGTGCTGTTAGGGCCATGAGGACAGCCTGCCAGGAATGTGAGCCAGCAGGACTGAGAATCCAAGTTTTTTTTTTCCCAGAGCTTGATAATAATACCAGCCAGTATTTAATGAGCACCTAACATTTCACTCTACAGCCCTCCTATAACTCGCAGGGGGGCAGCTCCCACCTGGCTGTGTCTGCAGGGCCCTGGCTGGCTGATGTTCTTGATCCAGGCTGACCACATCCCTTCATGCTGTGATGGAGATGTGTTGTAGGCATGTTCTGGGATGCGACTCTTCCCTCCTTCTTTCAATGTTGAGGACACGTCTACCCAGTGAGGCTGTGGAAGCTGGTGGCTGCCTACAGGCAGGACTGGAATTCAGCTTTCTGACTCCGGGGACTTCCACCATTAGTCTGTCCCTGGGACATGAATAAAAGTTGCTGAGATTAGTTGGGCTGCTTTGTCCAGCAATAAGGAAAACTATTTTCCTACTCTGATAGGTGCTAGGTGGCCTTCTTAGTGACTGACCTGGCTGTAACCTATGCACAATGTGCACCTTTCCCACTCCTGTTTTTGTCCTTTCGAGTCTGGGTCCCGCATACAGATCATCTGTTCAGCGCCTGTATAAGAAACTAAAATGGGAACTAGTAAGGCAAAGCATTTACCTTGACAAATTTTCTACATGTGTGATCAGGAACCCTGCATTTTTAGGGGGGACGTCCTGGTGAAGGACTGGATGGCCCATAGTTTTCCATTTCAATTTCTTTGATTGTGATTAAAAAACTCTGTTCCCCTCAGAGTTGTTCAAGAGAGGAGAGAAAAGGAAGTCTATAGAAAATTACTTCTGTCATCCAAGCCCAGTGGTAAAGCTAAGGCAGCCCACGTGGGTAAGCAGGCAGCACCGAAGGCTTGGACTGGCACAGCATGGAAAAGTGATAACTGTGAAGAAAGCATGGTAAGTGGTGAGATGTTGGGATTGTCCCAGACTCAGGGCACAGGGCACAGATTTATTCCTTCAAGAGATCTTATCTGTGAAAGACACTCAGCAGCTGCATTAGCCTTTCAACAAGAGTTGCACTTATTTTTTAGTTTGGACTAATTCTAATCTATCTTTTCCAACTAGGAGGGTCTAGTTTGTACGGTGGGTCCTGCCCTCAGCTTGGGTTTCCTGCTCTAAAGGCACATTTTGTCCTGGCTGGGTTGCTCAGTCAGTTGGAGCGTCATCCCCAGCAACTGGTTGTGGGTTTTCATCCCCCGTCAAGGCCTGTATGGGAGGGAACTGATTGATGTTTCTCTCTCTCCCTCCCTCATCAATAGACATATTCTCTGGTGAGGATTAAAAATAAATAAAAGTCATAAAATAAAGGCCTATTTCCTTCTATAAATACTGTTTTCTACCTTTTCTTCCCCTCATTGCCTTTCTGGCATCCCACACTCTCCAGCTGGGCCAGCTGTGTGGGTGGGGAGTGGGTCCAGGGCGGTGGTGGTGTTGGGGTGTATCTGCGGCCCCAGCAGATTTAAAGAAGGTGCTCCCTGGCAGGACTGCCTGACAACACCACTTCCTGTGTGGCTCCTCGACAGCTTGGTGGCCGTGGTTGAGGAGATATGAATAATAGCTGGATCTCCCAACACCTCTGACTTTCAGGAAGCAAAGTTTCTTGCATGTTATTAACTCTTAGGAGGCCGTGGCAGTTCCTTGATGCTTTTCACAGGTCAGCAACTTGTCAGGTAGAGAAGGAAACATCCCAAATGATCAGCTCAGTCTTAAGTGACATTTGTATGGGAACTCTGTCTAGGTCTCTTGTTATCCATTAGTCACAATGACTTGATTTTACTGGAACAAATGGGAAAAGGAAGAGGCAGAGAGAAGCAGCCTGCCTAAACGTCGCTTGGATGGATCTGGACGCTTGCCCCTAACTGAGGCTGTGTCTTTGCAACAATGCTTTCCCCCAGGGCACGATGCCGCCTTCTCAGGGTGCTTTCTGCAGAGTGGGGCCTCAAGAGGGGAGCCTGTTCTCCCCTCAGTAATCTCATTCCCTCCCAGGAATGCGTGGAGAGAGAGAACAGGACAAACCCACCTACCAAACATAATTGAGTAGATCATGGCCAATCGAAGGCCATATAGATGTGTTCACAGAACTTGATAAAATTTCCTTGGCATTGCTGAATATTCCATTTTTAAAAAACCATCTATTTTTGTTTTAAATTCAGCAGCAGTGATACTAATGAATGATGAAGAAACTGAGGATTGAAATGCATGATGAGGAAAATGAGGAGCATGGCAGAAATATCCAAATGAAATGGTATAGCTGGAGAACTACTGTTAACATGTGTGATGGAATGACAACCCAATTAGGAAAAATAAAAATAAAAGTATTTTAAGTGCTTTTGTTTCATGTTGCCTAAGTCAATGCTGTATTTTTATTTCAGGAGAGAGAAAAACTTTGGAGTGTGAGAACATTACCAGAAGCTTTGATTTTTTTCAATGGCGCTGTTTGTTACTGATACCAAAATCAAGGTAGCTTATAGCATTGACACAAGGTGATGTCCCCAAGGCCCCCTTTTCAGAAGACAGGCTACACTTTCATAGGGTGCAATTGTCAGTCAGGTGTGCAAGAAATTCAGGGCTGGCCCAGCAGTAAGCTGTGCTAATAGGAAGAGCAGCATCAGTTTCGGAGAGATGCAGAACCATCCTCTGCAGCTTCTTCCTCCAAGTCCTTCAACCAGGGCAGTATGCACATAGGTTCCAGAGACTGACAGTGCCAACTGTGGGTCATGCAAGTCAGCCCATGGAGGATCTGTTTTTTACCTTGGAAGCTTGTATTCTCTAGAGCAGCTGTAACTTATATATCCATACATTGCAAGCAAAAAAAATATTTTATATATATAAATACATATCCCTAGCTGGTAAATTCTGTGCATGTGACCAGTGGAAGTTTGGTGAAGGCCTTACTGCCTTAGTCATTGGCCCTAATATTTGTCTATGTCAGGAGTCAGCATGCTTTTTCCAAAGGACTAGGCAACAACTATTTTAAGCTTTGTGGCCCATAAGTTCTGATAACTCTGCTGATAGCCAGAGACAGTGGAAATGCACAGATGTGGCCAGGTTCCAATAAAGCTATATAAAATTAGGTGATGGGCTGGATTTGGTCTGCAAGCTGTGGTATAACAACCCTATTATTTTGCTCATCTTTTTCTAGGGATTCCATAATTAGACATTTCTGTGATCTCTGTAGTTCAAAACCTCTAATGGTCAATTTATTCCTATAGCTTATTGTAACCGTCCAACCTGACTCTGCTAACAACCAACACCTGGCTTTCTCATGCTGATATCCCATTGTTCTAATAAGATCAGGAATTAACATTATTAATTCATTTACATCCTGCACAGGGTGGCCCTCAAAGAGCTTTTCAAGGATTCATTTTTTATGCCAATGTGAATGGAATGTTCTGTTGGTTCTCTTCCGGAGGTTTGACTGAGCAAGTGGCTTATAAAAGATCCGTCAGCATTCTTATCCTTGTTCACCTTCCTCTATACCAGTGGTGCTCAACCCTGAGCAGTTTTAACCCCTGATGGACATTTGGCAATGCCTGGAGACATTTTTGGTTGTCAAAACTGGGGGAAGGTACTGTTGGCATCTGGTAGGTGCAAAACATCCTACAGTGGATGGGAGAGCCCCGCAACAGAGAATTACCAGCTGTCTTAGCATTGTATTAGTGGTCTGACAGGTGCTCAGTTAGCAAAAGCAGCATTTTTATCAAGAGTAGCAACACTTTTAAAAAGCCAGAATATGTAAACCTATGTTTTAAATATTTGAATCAGTTACAATTTCTAGCCAGGCACAGAGAAGGAGAAAAAAAGAAGAAATTCTGGACTGCCCATAACTGAGAAAGGGATAGGAATAGGATTTAGAGTTGCATATCCACCAGGTGGCTGGTAACCCCAGGCATCATTTCTAACACCCTTCCTTGTCAGACCCATGGTTTCAGTTCTCCAATGGAGGAGCTGTAAACAAAAAGCCTTGCGTGAGCTCAGTTTTCACTGGAGAGGAGTTGAGCTGATTCCTGGGAGGGCACTTTTCTGGGAGGATGGTTAGCTGTGGGTCTGGTGGTGTTTGGGACCATCCGGGAAAAAAAGAATGATGTCTGCTTCTAGTTCCCAGGCACATAGCCCTGTGGCTTGGTTCAGCACAACCCACTGCTGTGTCGTCTGAGTCTTTTACTATCTTCACTTGTTTCCTATTTGCAGCCAACTATTTGATCCTTACATCATGTTTCATGTTATCATGAGCTGAGGAGTAGTGATAGCGTGTAGAGAATGGTTTAAGATTCTGGAGGGGAAAACTATCATAATCTAGATGTAGCACTTTAACTATTACTTACTACTTTTACTATACAGGTCCAAAAATTCTCTGAAGTACCAAAAGTTAATTAATACTACATATTACTTTATAGCGTCTGCCTGTATTTCTACAATAGTTGGGAAATATACCAAATTGACCACTAGGTGTATACCAAATCACTCCCTGTGGGGGGGCTCCACCCACAGGGCCCCCCTGGCCACCATGGATTAGAATAAGTCTACCAAGACATGATCTGCTTGGGGAGGAAAGGTGGCCGATCTCTCAAAGGAGAAGGGCCAAGAGCCTTTTCCTCAATGGGCTTTTATTGGGTTCATTTGCACTAGAATACAGGAAAAGCTCATTAATCATTATCAGGCAATAAGGATTAAACAATACATAACAAAGAACTCTGAGGGCCTATTTTGAGTCAGGGCCTGATAGCTAAAAAGCAATACAACTTTTGAAGAACAAACTTACTTCTTTTTTGGACCCTTATCATTCAACTGAGAGCATTCTAAACAAAGCAGGTTTCACAGGGTTTTACATATTCTTTCTTAGGCTTGATTGCCCGGGGAACCTGCCCTTTCCAGCACAGGGCTGCACTGCCCTCTGTCATTGTTTCAGGCTTAAGTCAGGCAGGGGAAAGTAAGGCAGCCAAGAGATTAGAAGACTTCTTGCAGACAGAATGAGGACTTAGGCTTTGTCAAAGCTGAGGGGTGAGGGTCCATCACCCCCTTTTGCTATAGCCCCCCCAAGTACCTCCCTGGGGTTTTCCCATGATCGTGCCTGTCTTAGGTTGTTCCCCCCTTGAGGAATCTTACCCGTCATTGGCTAACCGATCAAGCATTGGGGGCCAGGCAGGGTGAAGTAAAAGGAGCAGAAGCAGCACTCCTGCCAAGGAGATAAGCTTTGTCTCCTTAGTGGCTTATGGCCTGAAGGTCGCTCACTCAGCCTTAGCCATGGAGTGGGGGGGGGGTGGTGGTTACAGCTTCTGAAACCAGGCAGAGTGGTTCCCAACATATGACAACATGGCATAGTGCTCCACACACACACACACACTGGACCAGTTACTTTCCTGGTTTTGATTTTGTACTGTAGCCATGTAAGATGTAGCCCTTAGGAGAGTCTGAGTAAAGGGTACACAGGACCCCTCTGTACTACTTATTCAACCTCTGCAAACTCTGATTATTTTGAAATAAAAAGTTAAAAAATGTTAAAAGAAGTCTTTCTGACATAGAAAAGAAGACCAATGAAATGGCCATGATATTCTAAAAAGTCAACCAGCATGAAACTAGTCTGTAGAGATCACAAACATGGGTGCGATGTTTGTCTAAACAGCAAAAGGGAAGTACTAGTTACTATGCATTTTGAGAGCTGTAAATCAGACGAGAATTAAACTACTATGATAAAATACAGGCCTCCACTGTAATTCTAATAAGTTACACAAACACATGTGATATATCATATGTCTTTTGTGTTCCCTGGAGTGGAGCTCTGCTTTTTACCCTACCAACACAATCCTTTACTTTTTAAAAAGTCAACGATGAATCTTTAACAAGATCAGAGCTCCCTGCAATAGTTCACGGTTCCTTAATTATTCTGCATCTTTTCTTCTGTATTTTCACTGTGACACAATTTTGCAAAAAAAAAAAAAAAAAAAAAAGGAAAAAGTCTTTCCACATTTAGAGTGTTGTACTAATTATGCTTGAGTATCTTTTCATATTGATCAGGATGATAAAAGAGAAAATTTTAAAGGACTCTTCTATAAAAGATTTCAGGCCCCTGTGTAAAAACTCTTTTGTCCCATGGCCTTTCTTTTCTGAATGCCCAGTGACCCAGACTACACATACATTTTCTCTCAAGGACAGAAAAATCTTGCCTACCTTCCCCTCCCACACCAACCAAGTGTCTTTATTTTCTTCTCTGTCACTTCTGTAATACTGTACCTCTGTGTCCTTGTCTTGACCCTGCTTTTACTTAATTTCTGATTAAACTATCAAACTTGGCCTGGTACATTGAATGTTGCTTCTTTCTTCTTTCTTAGACTGTGAACTACGAGTTTATAACCATGAACTACTCTATGGACTTGAACCTCCCTCTTCAATACATCTAGAATTATATTCACTCTAACCCCAACATAGGTGGTTTATATTTCCCAGTTTCCTTAAGTATCCCCAAATGCTTCAGAATAAATAGACTTTTATGGTAAGTCCTTTATGAAGAAATTGTTTTAGATATTTTAACTTCACAAACTAAGTGATGGCAAAAACATATTTACTTATCCAAAAATACGGTCTGTAAAATGTCATCGTATAGGAACAAAACATCAATAAACAGGGAGGCCAGAGATTTTGCAATGACATTTGATTAGGTTGACACACTGATGATATAGAAACTGGCAAGGTGGAAACTTACGCAGTAAAGATAAAGGAATTATTAACAAGGAAATGTGCAACCTTCCTTGTAGATAATAGAGGCAGAGGTGTAGAGAGCACAATGACCTGCACACTTACTCCCCCAAAGAAAACCTGGGAGAGTGGAAGACACTTCCCAGGGAGCCACAAATAGCTGGAGCTTCATTGTGCTGAAGAGATACCTGATAATTGGAGGAGGCTACCACAAAGAATTACTGTGCACAGCAGAGCTTCTGGGTGTTTGGGGAGTGAAACTCTGACAATTTTGCAAATATTTAGAGCAGGAGAGGGAAGTTGGCTGAATAATGTTTTCTTGACAGCGACATGGCTGTGAAGCTGACCTCAGAGGTCTCCAGATTGACAGAGACCATGATCACACTTGATTCTGGAGCCTGGAACGTTGGTAAGAGCCCCAAGAGTGGTTTCAGATGTCTTCTAGGTTTAGGAACTGCAGTGATTCTTTTCAATGGTGGGAAATATCTTGCAGTGTTTTATGCCCAGATTACTTTGTCTGGAGTGAACTCAAATAAACTTGACAGAGACATCATCTACCCAAAGAATGGAGTAGCGTGTTGAAAAGGGTGAGTCTTCTGGCAAATGGTAGCCTAGCCCTCTTGTCTTTTTCTGATGTGGGTGATGGAAACAAGGTCAATTTAATTCTAGAATCTAATGTGAGCTCTTACAGGCCACTTCCAGGAATTAATATACCCTTTCCATACCATGAACACCAGAGGTCTGAGAGGTGTCAAGATTGTGTTGTATTGTTGGCCTTAAAAAACTCGAGTCTGTAAAGCAGTCTCACACATAATACAAGCTGGAAATACTGTACACAACAGAGTTTCTGGATGCACAGTACTTAACACCAGCTGGAAAGAATGATTACAAAATACTATGTAGCTAGTATATGCTCAGTGGGAAAGATGTTTCTGATAGAGAAGGGAAGCAATGTCTTTTGATTGGGAATATTTTCCATGATTTACAAGTCAAACTTAATTTTTAAAATTAATTTTAAATTATTAGTAAGGCTACATAAATTTGAATAACTTTATATTTGAATTATCAGTAAGAGGTGGGATGGAGAGAATGGAAAATACCATAATAAACAGCATAAAATTAGGACAAAGTTCTTGCCTTTTTAGAACTTATAACCTAAGGAAGAGGATGGTAGAATATTTTTTATATTCTCAGGACTTACTCATTTTGTAACAGGAAATTTGCACCTTTTAATCTCTTCCACCCATTTTGCGTACCCCTCAACTTGTGTCTTAGGCAACCACCAATCTGTTCTCTATAGTCACGAGCTATTTTTTTGGTTTTAGATTCCACATATAAATGAGATCATATGGTCTTTGCCTTTTTCTGTCTGACTTATTTTACTTGCCATAATGCCCTCAAGAAGAAAAGAAGGAATATGAAAAATCCAGAAAAGAAGATAAAAATAAATTGTTCCCAGGATCTCAAATTACCATAGTTAATATTTGATTGTAGGTGGTACCGTATTTTCTTCCCATTCCTTCCCTAACAGCACAGTATTTGGAGTCCATCCTGTCCACTGGGACAATAATGGGCACTTGTCTTTGCCCTCTATGATGGTTAGTTTTACTTATCAGTTTGGCTGGTCCAGGGGGAACCCAGATATTTAGTTGAACACAATTCTGGGTATTTCTGGGAAGACATTTTGGGTTGAGTTTAACATTTAAATCAGTAGACCGAGGAAAGCAGATTGTCCTTCTCACTGTGTGTGAGCCTCAGCTGAGCTGAAGGCCTAAAATTAACAAGCTGACCCTCTTACAAGTAGGAGGGCACTTCTGCTGCCCAATGGCCTTTGAACTGAGACAACAGCTTTTTCTTGCCTTTGGATTTGAATTGAAACATGGGCGGTTTCGAGTCTCCAGCCTGCCAACCTATAGATTGGAACTTAAACCATTGGATTTTTGCGTCTTCATTGTATTGACTGCAGACCTTGGGACTTAGCAACCTCCACAATTGTATGAGCCAATTTCTTATAATAAGTATATAAGTAAATCTCCTGTTGGTTCTCTTTATCTGAAAACACTGACCAGTTTATCCGCTGTGGAATAAAGAAGTTGGCCTCAATCAAAGAGAGGTTTGGCCTTTGTCTCTCATGCCTGGGAGGTAACCTCAAAGCCCTTGGAGTTTCTTTCAGAAAAGGAGTGTCTTTGTGATTCAGAATGGACCCCTGGAGAGTTTATGCTAATGAGGTGACTAAGGACAGGGGCTGGTCACTCCAAAAAGACCAACCAGGTGATCTTGGCCCCCTTTCCAGGAGGGAAAAGGGCTGGTGATTGGGTTAAACCACATGGATATTGATTCACTCAGTCATGTCTCTAGAATGGAGCCCCAGTAAACACTGCACACTGAGGCTGAGCTGAGCATCCCTGGTTGGTGACCTACACCACTGTGCCAGCAGATGTGTCCTGGACATAGAAGCGTGTCCTGGACATGGAAGCATGTCCCGTGGGGTCCCACCTCACACCTCACCCTTCCTTTTGCTGGCTCCAATTTGCATCCTTTGTTATGATAAAATAGAAGTCATTATAGTGCTTTCCTGAGTTCAATGAGTTGTTCTATCAAATTATGGAACATGAGTGTGATAGTGAAGACCCTTGAATTCACAACCAGATGGTCTGAAGTGTATGGGTGGTCTGGGGACCCCCTGACTTGTCACTGGCACCTGAAGTGAGAGCCGTCTTGTGGAAATTGCTCCCTCAGATGGTGCACTTTGATGACAGTCCCTGTACCCCCTGTCACTGCAGTAATTTTAGTGCCTGACTCCCCCCACTGGCTGGGGCAGGAGGTAGATTTACATGCTTATGCAAAGATTGGCTCTGGTGCCCACAGTGGGGAACATTAGACCCACCTTCTTTTTTGCTCTCATCACACTGGAAGGGGATAGGTCTATGTAGAGTCATCCCAGGTTTGTAAACATACACAAAAAAGAAGAGACTTAGCCAAGATCGTGCAGAATGTGGAAGAGGACCAAAGTCTGATCTTGGGGGCCCAAGACCATCTGAGCCTGAAGGAAACCTGAAGTCCTGGCTGAGGCTTGCAGTTGATGTTTTCTGTTTTACATCTGAACTTGGGAGTCGTTTTTAACTGCTGAAGTCTCTGCTACTTTTATAGTGGGGGGAACCACCAGATGACCCTCTTTTAGACAGACAGTCCCCTTTCACGGTTGGCCCATACAGTACCTAACAGATTATGTAATAATTTTCACTTTTCTCACTTGTCTAAGAATAAAAGCATTTTATTCTGAAAGTAAGGCTGCATACACTATAATCTGATCTTTTGATGAAGCAAAGAAAAGCTGATTTATTTTTAGATAATGAACTTGCTGATAAGTCTTAATTTGGAGCCAGTGCATTTAACTGCCTGAGGCAGTTTAGCAAGTTCCCCCATTCTCTGTGTGTACACGAGTATTGACTTGTCACCCCATGGGCACATGGTGATTTCCGGGTCTAATCCACTCAGAGTCTGCTATTGGTTCTTCACAAAGAAGAAAAATAAAGTCAGAGCTTTTTCTCTGGTTCTAAACCCTTCCTTCCCTTCCATGATGATTTCCAGAGAATTTTTTTAAAAAGTTGTTTTTAGCTTGCAAATAGATTTTAAAAGATGAATCTCAATCTCTTGCCTTCATAGAGAGAGCTTATAAATTAAACATGGATACTTAGAATAAAGGTCACCGGAAGTCCCTCTGCTGGGAAGGTTTTGTCCTCCCTCTACCTGGAGGCTTTTTTTTCTTTCTGAAGAGTGGTTGGAAAGTGGAATGAGCACAATTTGTACCTTCACGTCTGTGGATATATCTTTAAATAGAAACAGAGAACAAAGCAATTGGCTGAGGCTTGGGATGAGGGTGGGTCTTGGGGATGCTCCATGTGGAACATCCTGGTCTGGGACGTTGTTTGTGTCATCACAGGAGGGAGTGAACAAGGCCACAGGCGACATGGGGGCGAGCTGGAGTGGAGCCTTTTCTCTGGTCCAGTCGCTGAGAGTAGAGGATTTCATCTCGACTGAGAGCAGCACCCAATCAGCGCTTTCGGATGAATGAAGGGAGAAGCTCTGATGACGCGTCTGCACATACCAGGTTCTAGGTGAGACCCTTGGGAAATGCAGAGCCTGCCGAGGTCTGCAGGAGTGAGAGTGAAACTGACTACATCCTGAGGATAAGGCACTGTCCTCAGCTGGGAGAGAGGGCAGGCAAGAGACAGAATAAGTGTCCCTTAGATGTCCGCTTCCTAATTCCTGGACGAGGTGAATATGTGAATTAGTTCACAGGTGTGATGGCAGATAGTGACCTTGAGGTGGGGAGATAATCTGGGATCATCCGAGCAGAACCCAACTAGTCAGAAGGGTCCCGACAAGCAGAGGTTCTCCCGGCAGGGGTCAGAGGGAGAAGTGACCATGGAAGGAAGGCATAGGGATGTTTCCTTGTGGGCTTTGAAGATGGAGGATGAGCCAGGAGCCAAAAATTTGGGCACTTCTAGAAGCTAGAAAAAAGCAAGAAACATGCTCCCCAGAGTCTCTGGACAGAACGCAGCCCTGTGGACAACTTGACTTTGGTACATTGAGACTGTTGTATTTCTGACCTGCAGAACTGTAAGATAACACATTTGCATTGTATCGTTCCACTAAATCTTGGGTAATTGGTTATGGCAACAATAGAAAACTAACATGGTGATGTTGGAGTTTTGAGGAGAGAGGGACTCCTGTAAAGTCTCCACTAGGACCTTGGGTACCAAGTGTGCTAGATGCAGCTGTGTCAGCATCATCTGAGCGCTTGTTAGAAATGCAGGCCCCCACTGCCCACACCAGACAGACAAGGTCAGAATGTGCATTTACAAGTGTTCCTAGCAACCATCTGCTCAGGCTAGGAAAGTAGGGACTGGGTACGTACAGACAGGTAGGCCCTGCAAGGGCCTCTGAGTACCTGCAAGGCAAGTGGTTGTGAATTTAAGGTGAGATGAGTCAGGGGAGTTGTGGGTTGCATCAACTCTTTTAGTCTTGTGGGTGCAAGTGAAGACATGATGGACACCTAGGTTTGTAGTTTAGCCAATAAAGTACGATGAAAGAAGGGGGAGCCAGGGGGTTAAGGATGTATAAATGAAATTCTAATAAAAGGACCTTGGAAAATAATAATTTTATAGTTTTACATTTTACATTTAGGTCTGTGATGTGGACCCTGGCCCGCGGGGTCTGTGTGTTGTGGATGTGACGAACAAATTCACACGAACTGCAGAAGTCCTGTGGAGAAAAAGGGACAGCATGGCCACTCTCTAATTGAGAGAGAGGGCTCTGACCCCTGCCTGGACAAGCTTTTATTGCTTCTCTGGGTACATTACATGGAGGATGGTCCTCATTTACTATGCACAGGTTTGCTGTAGGTGATTGCCTTTTACAGATAACAACGGAAAGAATGTTGCAAATTACGTCAAAGAGAAGGATGTTGCAGACCAAGGGGAGAAGTGGTTGAACTGGTTACACTCCATACTTGGGAGGCTTAGCACAGATTTTAGGAAGTTACTTTAGAGATATGCAGTAAACATTTGCTGTTTCAATTGAAGGTGAGAGAGTTTTAGTAAAAGCAAGCCTCAAAGCAGCTTAGGTACAATGCAGGCCTAATTCCCCATGGGAAAACCTATTTGTGGGTGTGGGTCTTTGTGAGCCAACCTTGCTCCCTGTCAGTTTTCTGAATCAGGGGCTGGGATACATTTCCCGTGCCACACGGAACAGTTCCCCATAGGTCTGTGATCCATTCTGAGTTAATTTTTCTGAAGGGTGTAAGGTATGTTTCTAAATTAATTTTTGCATGTGGGTGTATATGCAGTTGATCTGGCACTATTTTTTGAAAAGAATTTTGCTTCACTGTATTGTTTTTGCTCCTTTGGCAAAGATGAGTTCACTGTATTTGTGTGAGTCTATTTTGGGGCATTCTGTTCTGTTCCGTTGATCTATTTGTCTATTCATTTAACAACACCACACTGTCTTTTAATTTTTATTACCTTTTTAAATTAAATTTTTTTCCACTACAGTTGACATACAATACTATATTGCTTTCAGGTGTACAACATAATGATTAGACATTTATATAACTTACAAAGTGATCACCCTGAATATACCAAACTGTTCTGATTACTGTGGTTTTATAGTAAGTCTTGAAGTCAGGTAGTGTCAGTCCTCCAACTTTGCTCTTCTTCAATATTGTGTTGGCTATGCTGGATCTTTTGCCTCTATGTAAACTTTACAGTCAGTTTGTCAGTCTCCACAAAACAACTTTCTGGGATTTAGATTGGGATTACATTGAGTCCATAGGTCAATTTGGGAAGACCTGACATCTTGACAATACTGAGACTTCCTATCCATGAACAAAGAATAGCTCTCTATTTAGTTTGATTTTGTTCACCACAGTTTTGTTCTTTTTCTCATATAGGTTTGCACATATGTATTTTGGTATATTTTTAACTAAGTATTTCATTTGGGGAGGTAATAATGAAATGGTATGTGTTTTTAATTTCAAATTTCATTCTTTCATTGCTGGTACATAAGAACTGAATTTTGCATATTGACTTTGTACCTTGCAACCTTGGTATACTTGCTCATTAGTTCCAGGAGTGGTTGTGTGAATTCTTTAAGATTTTCATTCAAGGAAGTGGTCCATTTCATCTGGCTTATTCAATTTGTGGGTATAAAGTTTTTTATAGTACTCCTTTATTATACTTTCAAAGTCCATGAAATCTTTAGTAATGTCCTTTCTTTGATTTTTGATATTAGTAATTTGCCTTCTTTTTAATTTTTCTGTGATTTTTAAAAATGTATTTTATTGATTGTGCTATTACAGTCATACCATTTTCTCTCCCTTTATTCCTCTCTACTCTGCATCTCCCCTCCCACCAGCATTGCCACTCCCCCTTAGTTCGTGTCCATGGGCCATATATATAAGTTTTTCGGCTTCTCCATTTCCTATACTATTCTTTGCCTCCCACTGTCTATTTTGTACCTACCATTTATGCTTCTTATTCCCTGTACCTTTTCCCTATTCTCTCCGCTTGGCACCCCCGCTGATAATCCTCGATGAGATGTCTATTTCTGTGATTCTGTTTCTGTTCTAGTTATTTGCTTAGTTTGTTTTTGTTGTTTTTAGGTTCAGTTGTTGATAGTTATGAGTGTGTTGTCATTTTACTGTTCATATTTTTTATCTTCTTTTTCTTAGGTAAGTTCCTTTAACATTTCATATAACGAGGGCTTGGTGATGATGAACTCCTTTAACTTGACCTTATCTGGGAAGCACTTTATCTGCCCTTCCATTCTAAATGAAAGCTTTGCTGGATAGAATCATCTTGGATGTAGGTCCTTGCCTTTCATGACTTCAATACTTCTTTCCAGACCCTTCTTGCCTGCAAGATCTCTTTTGAGAAATCAGCTGATAGCCTTATGGGCACTCCTTTGTAGGTTACTGTCTCCTTCTCTCTTGGTGCCTTTAAGATTCTCTCCTTATCTTTCATCTTGGCTAATGTAATTATAATGTGCTTTGGTGTGTGCTTCCTTGTATCCAACTTCTTTGGACTCTCTGAGCTTCCTGGACTTCCTGGAAGTCTGCTTCCTTTGTCAGAGTGGGGAAGTTCTCCTTCATTATTTTTTCAAATAGTTTTCCATTTCATGATCTTCCTTTTCTTCTGGCACCCCTATGATTTGGATGTTGGAATGTTTAAAGTTGACCCAGTGGTTCCTATGCCAGTCCCCTTTTTTTTGGATTCTTGTTTCTTCATTCTAGTCTGGTTAAATGTTTATTTCTTCCTTCTGGTCCAAGTCATTGATTTGAGTCCTGGTTTCCTTCCCTTCACTGTTGGTTCCCTGTACATTTTCCTTCATTTCACTTTGTATAGCCTTCAATTTTTCCTCCATTTTGTGACCATACTCAACCATTTCTGTGAACATCCCAATTACCAGTGTTTTGAACTCTGCACCTGATAGGTTGGCTATCTTTTCATCATTTAGTTCTGTTTTTGGAGCATTGATTTGTTCTTTCATTTGGGACATATATATATTTTGCCTTTGTGTACCTGTTGCATTGTAAGGGGCAGAGCCTTAGGTATTCATTAGGGTGGGACAACCCATGTCATTGTGTTGTGGCAGTGTATGTGGGGGAGGGGTTGAGAGGGAACAATGCCACTTGCTCAGCTTTCTGCCCACTTATAATCACTTCCCCTGCTACCCACAAGCAAATTGGGCCCTTCTGGTGCTGATTCCCTGGGTAGGTAGGTTTGTGTACATTCTAGGACCCTGTTGATCTCTCCAATGATTTCTCCTGTGAGGCTGAGAGTTTCTCCCACTGCCACAACCCCAAAGGTTTTTATTGCCAGAGGTTTTGAGGCATTATTTCCCCGCACTGGAACCCCAGGTTGTGTGGTCTGTCTTGCTCCCCAGTTGTTCTTCCTGGTTATCTGTATGCAAATGTGGGACTGCCTGCTCAGCCAGCCACGGCCTTGCCCCCCAGGTCCTCTAGCCACTGCCAAGCCATATGTCCTCCCCCACTGCTGTTTATCTCCACTCTTCCTACCAGTCTGAATGAATGTTTCTTCTTTAACTCCTTGGTTGTTGGACTTCCATTCAGTTTGATTTTCTGGCAGTTTTGGTTCTTTTTTTTGTTTTTAAACTTGTTGTCCTTCTTTTGGTTGTACGAAGAGGCAAAGTGTATCTACCTATGCCTCCATCTTGGCCTGAAGCCTCTGCCTTCTTTTTTAAATCTATTTTTTAAAACTCTCAAACTTACAGAAAAGTTGGAAGTTACAGTACAAAATATTTTTCTACACTGAACCATTTCAGAATTGCTGAAATAATGTCCTTCTCCCAAATATTCTAATGTGTATTTCCAATAAGCAAAGACATTCTCTTGTATAACAATAATCCAACTATCAATATCAGGCCATTAACATTGATATTTACTACCATCTAATCCTTGGACCCCATGAAAATGTTTCCATTCTCCCAGTAATGCCATTTATATAAAAAGAATTTGGTTCAGCATGCCTGTCAGGTCACTTTAGTCTTGTT